TTTTTCTCTCTATCACAAGTGACGAGAGAGCATGGAGCCGTTTCCTGGCCAATCAGGAAACCGGGTGGCTTCCTGATACAGGAAGTACTCGTGCTAGGTATCGGAGCATTTGGGGCGAGTACGAGTACTCACCCAAATACTCGGTATCGGCACCTATACCGATACTAGTATCGGTATCGTTGTATCCCTACTCACAACGATACAAAGAAACCTTCCACTTTGCTGTTTACAACACTTCAGGATCGCTGTGTATAAGAGAGAAAAAGCAGTAAAAGTCAAATATTTATAAAATAAACTCTGTACACACATAATATATACACCGAGCGGCCAGATTACTATGCCCCTCCCCCCATCAGTACTTCGTAGGGCCGCCTTTTGCCTTCCATAGTGCGGCGATTCTTCTTGGCATTGACTCCGCGAGATTGTGAAAGGCGATGCGAGGAATCCGACGCCGCGCCTGATGAATAGCGCCGTCCAGTTCAGAGAGATTTGTTGGTTGTGGAACCAGCTGCCTGATTGGCTCTTTCAACTCCGTCCCACAAATGCTGCAATTGGATTGAGATCTGGTGATTGCGGGGGCCCCCTAAGCAAGGTGAAGTCTCCCTCGTGTTCCTGAAACCGCTCCTGCACAATACGAGCGCCGCGGCATGGCGCATTGTCTTGTTGGAAGAAGCCGTCTCCATTGGGATACGCCGTCAACGTGATCGGATGGAGTTGATCGGCGACGATACTTTGGTATGTTGTGCTATTTAGACGGATTAAAGGGCCCAAATCATGCCGGGAAAACACGCCCCCAAACCATAACTCCGCCCCCACCAGCTTGAAGGGTTGTACTCATGCATGTGGGGTGCATGCTTTCCTGCCGCCAAATTGTCACTCTGCCATCTGCATGATGCAACCGGAAACGTGATTCATCGGACCACATGACGTGATTCATCCTTCCAACGCTCGACTGTCCAATCCTTGTGTTCCTGCGCGAATCGGAGACGCTTTATCTTGTTACCTGCAGACAGCAAAGGTGTTGGAACCGGCCTTCGGCTTCCATATCCCATACGACGCAGTGTACGGCCAACAGTGCGTTCAGAGATCATTGGAGAGGATCCCTGATTAATATCTGCAGCCATTTGATGTACTGTTGCCCCTCCCCCGTTCTGCCCTAACATTGACTAGTCGCTGACGGCCACAATTCGCACGTCCAGACCCAGATTTTCGGCTGACAGTCCGGTCTTTAAACACTTTAACAATGAGCCGCTCCTGAACATGTAACGCATTCTGCTGTTTTGCTGATACTCGCTCCATGGCTCCGAGCGCCAACAATCATCCCGCGTTCCAAGGCTGTTACATCGCGTTGTTTCCCCGAATCTTCCCAATCACTTCTACTGTCGTGGTAACCAACCCGCTTCCCTATTTATAATGGTCACGGAACACCTGAATCACATGATTTGGAGGGGGAGGGGACCAATACATTTGGCGATTTAGTGTATACATGACACACATGTGTACATAGATCCACAATGATTGGAGACTGTGAGATGTTTTTGATTTTATTTCTTCTTTGTTAATAATAATTATTATGATTTCAATGTATTTTTATTGACAATTTGCACAACTTTATTGGCATGTACAGAGTCAGCGGAACGATCTTTAAAGCTGAACACACAAGATTACCAATATATATATTTCTCACAAACGCCTCGCACCTCACTCTGCCTATAGAACTAAATGAAGAGGGGAAGTATGACTCATGCATGACGTATCCGCAAATGCCGCCCCCAGAATCTACATGACACGCAACTTCTGGGGGCAGCCATATGTCCAAACTAGACCCCACTTAATTATGTATGACCCATGCATGACGTATCCACAAATCCCCCACAGGATCCACATGACAAGTAACTTCTGTGGGGCAGCAATATGTCCACACCAGACCCCACTTCATTAATCCACATGACAGGCAAATCCTGGGGGGCAGCCATGGGTCTGCACCAGACCCCACCCAATTAAGTATGGCCCATGCATCACATACCCAGAAATCCCCCACAGAATCCACATGACAAGCAACTTCTGGGGGCAGCAATAGGTCCACACCAGACCCCATTTATTTAAGTATGACCCATGCATGATGTATCCACACATCCCCCCAGAATCTACATGACAAGCAAGTTCTGGGGGGCAGCAATATGTCCACAACAGACCCCACCTAATTAATCCACATGACAGGTAACTTCTGGAGGGCAGCTATGGGTCCCCACCAGACCCCACTCAATTAAGTATGGCCCATGCATCACATAGCCAGAAATCCCCCCCAGAATCTACATGACAAGCAACTTCTGGGGGGCAGCCATGGGTCCACACCAGACCCCATTTATTCAAGTATGATCCATGCATGACGTATCTACAAATCCCCCCAGAATCTACATGACAAGCAACTTCTGGGGGCAACCATGGCTCCTCACCAGATCCCACTCAATTATGTATGACCCATGTATGATGTATCCACAAATCCCCCCCCCCAGAATCTTCATGACAAGCAACTTCTGGGGGGCAGCAATAGTCCACACCACACCCCACTCAATTAAGTATGGCCCATGCATGACGTATCTACAAATCCCCTGCAGAATCCACATGACAAGCAACTTCTGGGGGCAGCCATGGCTCCGCACCAGATCCCACTCAATTATGTATGACCCATGCATGACATATCCACAAATCCCCCCCAGAATCTACATAACAAGCAACTTCTGGGGGGCAGCCATGGGTCCACACCAGACCCCATTTATTCAAGTATGATCCATGCATGACGTATCTACAAATCCCCCCAGAATCTACATGACAAGCAACTTCTGGGGGCAACCATGGCTCCTCACCAGATCCCACTCAATTATGTATGGCCCATCCATGACATATCCACAAATCCCCCCCAGAAGCTGCATGACAAGCAACTTCTGGGGGACAGCCATGGGTCCTCACCAGACCCCATTTATTTAAGTAACACCCAAGCACGACGTATCTACAAATCCCCCACAGGATCCACATGACAGGCCACATCTGGGGGCAGCAATATGTCCTCACCAGACCCAATTTTTTTTAAGTATGACCCATGCATGACGTATCTGCAAATACCCCACAGAATGCACATGACAAGCAAGTCCTGGGGAACAGCCATGGGTCCACACCAGACCCCACCTAATTAAGTATGACCCATGCATCATGTACCTAGAAATCCCCCATAGAATCCACATGACAATTGACTTCTGGGGGGCAGCCACGACTCTGCACCAGACCCCCTCAGCGCTTTATCCAGCTCACAGCATCCTTTTTGTTTTCCAGGAGGACCCCAACGCTCCTCAGAAGGTCCAGGATCTGCCCAAGGTTTGCCTGAAGGACGAAGAACCCTTTAACATCCAGAACTCTCTCTCGCCGAAGCACGAGTGCAGCAAAGGGGATCCAGACATTGTGGACGTCAACTGCGTCCTTAACAACCTGACATGAGAAAAAGGATTTCACGGAGGAACCTGGCGGAAGATGCGTGCGCCATCTTCTCTGAACCTCTCCAGCGCTGGAGGAGGCGGTGGCGGCACAGGCCACGTCCCCCTCCAGCACTGCAAGGGGTTTTCCTGACTCATTTACCACACCACCCCTCTAATGTGCCCCCGACCCCTCCCCCCCTGGCATGCTTTGGTGTATTTTGTACAGAGATATGCAGAAAGATGAACCCGTGTTATGGAGGTGATGAATGAGCACAGCTGGTGCACAGCGTGTGGGCGGAGTTAGATTGCGTCACCCGGTGTCTCATGGGAGTAAACGCTGCAAAGAGGAAACATTTATCGGGTTCGGGGGCCCTGCGTACGTGGGCTCCTGTTCGGGTTCAGAACCGCTTTCCTTCTCCATACGAGTCAACGGGAATGCAAAAGTAGCTTAGGAGGTCCAATGCCAATGTGAAGGAACCTACAACTGATACAAGAGAGGAACGCACAGCAGAGCGAGCTGCAGCAACGCAAGCTGTGAATGGACTAAAACAGAGAAAATATCTGCTGAATCCGGAGGAATCAAAGGCCACAATGCATTCCTCTACCGGCTGAGGGGGTCCTGGTGGCCAGTCATTGGTCCGGGCAGGTCCCCATTCGGTTGATCGTGGCTTTGCCTCCCGAAATTTTGGATGGATTTGTCTTGCGGAGATCTTACATTTAATCGCCGTCTTTTTTTTAAGACATTGTTGCCAATTAAAATTTCACACTTTTTTGGGGGGGTCAACTGAGTGTACCTCAGCAGTCCTTACGCAGAGACGCTCATCACATTCCTTCATCTAAAACTGTCCACAAGGACGGGGAACTTGAAATTGTTACACATGAAATACAACTAATAAAACATGGAAGACACGCAAGAGAAATGTAAAAGTTGTCTACGTCCTTATGTAACTCAGTCTGTGTCTTCGCTCTATAGTGTCCTACTGAGGGGCCGAGAATGGGTAGTCTGATCTGTGGTGATTGGACTACAACCCAGTGAGACCCTCAATCTCCCCTTCCTCTCAGTCACTCAAGAACAAGCACTGAGAAGCCAGAACATTTGACTATTCACCAAACCTAAGTGCATGGCCCCCAGCTGGTAGTAGAGGAACCCAAGTTTTGAATATCAGACCATCAAAGCTAAGTGCTTCAGTGAAGCCTCCAATCAGTGTATCTGGATGAAACCCTTGTCCGCCAGTCCTGTGGTTTGGGTTTCGTCCTACAAAAGGCCCCCAATATTCATAATAACCTTCTTCCTTCCTGTACGGTGGATCTAATTTTGATCCCCTTTCAAGCTTTGAAGAACATCGGTGTTCCCACCATAAAAAAAGGTATATTAAAGATTAGGGAGTGAGTCACGGGAACATTGTGGTCCTCGCTCCTCCGAGTCCGTATAGCGTGGTTGTACCCGCAAATTATAGTCAAATTTTGGCCGGCGTTTCCCTTGTGGTAGCTCCCCCGGCCTCCCATCAATGAAGAACCCTCCTGAGGACAAGTCACCTCAATAATACTTGAAGGCATCTGCTTGGGGCTGCAGCGCCTACATTGAAGCCTTAAACTCCATCCCGAGCGCTCAGGCGTTGCCCAGCGTGTCCGCTCTTGGCTCTTTGGGTTTACAGCAAGCTAAAAATGTGATTTGGGTCAGCGGATCTTCGGGTAAAGAACCTTTTCCTACAGCCCTCAGGTCCTCCTTACACGGTGACCTCAAGTCTTCCTGTCCTCAGCTTGTAAGCTGCTAAAGTATAGAATGAGCTAAAATGCATACACGCAATAGGTTGGACTTGATGGACTCAAATACTATGTAACTATGAGTGATCTGTCTGAGGAACATCAGAAGGACAACATAGAAAAGGAAAAGATAATAGAAATGGACAATCAATATTTTGGTTTATATGATTGAAAACCCCAATAAAGTACGACGGCGGGGGGTGGGGTCGGCTTTGAGTTTGATACAATCTTAAAGTTGAAGACCTCCAGCCACTTGAACAGCAGAGGTTTTTCGGTGGACACGGGAAGGAGCTCTCGGTAATCCGCACCCCCTCCGGCCGCGTTACCTTACGGGAACGTAACATCTTAAGACTTATCCTGATGTAATCCTCTTTTCCGGATCGGAGCCGAGGTATAAATAACTGTTAATATGGACACAGCGCGTTCAATTAGGGTGAAGGAACTGTGGGTGGCGAGGAGGGAGCGCCACCATCTACCCTGACTGGCCTCGACGTCGACAACGAGGCTGTAAAACGTGGCCGTTGCATCAACTAGTACTTCACCAGGGTGGTACAGCTCAAGGTAGCCCTGGGCCCCATTCACCACCTGCTGGGAGGCATAGATGGGATCCGTCTCTTCCCCCGGAACGCTCCCGTCATACAAGTATACGCTAAACTTGTGTCAATAGTCATTGTATTCAGGGCCGGATTTCCCACAAGGCCAACCAAGGCCCGGCCTCGGGGCAGCAGGGAGTGGAGGGGCAGCAGGGAGTAGAGGGGCAGCAGGGAGTAGAGGGGCAGCAGGGAGTGGAGGAGCAGCAAGGAGTGGAGGAGCAGCAAGGAGTAGAGGGGCAGCAGGGGTGTGGAATTTCTATCTCCCAATGCCGGGGACATGCAGTTCTGGACGCCGAGCGGGTAGTTCTCTACATTTAGCCCGGCTTTGGGCAAGCAGAGCTAAATGTACAGTGGGGAAGCCGCCGCTTGTTTTGTACAAGTGATCCCGGCAATGTCGCCGAGATCACTTGTATGCAGCCTGCAGGTCTGCCACTCTCCATGGGGAAGGGGGAGGGGTTTGGCCGGTAGGGGGGGCACATTGAGGAACCTGGCCTTGGGGCAGCAGAGAGAGTAAATCCGGCCCTGCTTGTATTGGTATTGTATATAAAATGTCCACAACGTCGAATGCTTGCAAAATATTGCCCCAGTAGAAGACATTTAGGCAAATCCGGACCATCTACAAGGCCACCTAGGCAGATGTCTGAGGCCCGGTGAGTGTTTGGGAGGTCCACATACAACCTTCATTCTCCTCCATTAAATCAGGAACCAGATGAAAGGATGATGGGGGGAGGGGGGCAAAGTTGCTTCCTTGATCCTTGTCTGGGCCCCCATTCTCCATCTCTACCACTAGGGGAAATTTTGGTAAGAAAGTGGCCCAGAAAGAAGTTGTCACATCCAATAGATTCCAATAACCACAAAATCAATAAATGAAGACTCGGCCAGAGGAAGTCGCCTCTTGTCCGATGCCTGCGATTGGCTGGCTGACAGGATGTTGGATCGGCAATAATGTTTCTTGAGGTTTGCTCAATGATAAATGACAGGAAGCCGAGTTCATGATTGGCCAGCCAGGGATCAGCCAGGGGTCAGTGATCGGCTGGCAGCGGCCCCCGGATGTTGGCGATTGGTCGGATATCAGTACCCATCGCCGACCCTGGAGGTCCGGAAATCAATGATGAAGATCATCAGGTTGTACCCGCAAATTATAGTCAAATTTTGGCCGGCGTTTCCCTTGTGGTAGCTCCCCCGGCCTCCCATCAATGAAGAACCCTCCTGAGGACAAGTCACCTCAATAATACTTGAAGGCATCTGCTTGGGGCTGCAGCGCCTACATTGAAGCCTTAAACTCCATCCCGAGCGCTCAGGCGTTGCCCAGCGTGTCCGCTCTTGGCTCTTTGGGTTTACAGCAAGCTAAAAATGTGATTTGGGTCAGCGGATCTTCGGGTAAAGAACCTTTTCCTACAGCCCTCAGGTCCTCCTTACACGGTGACCTCAAGTCTTCCTGTCCTCAGCTTGTAAGCTGCTAAAGTATAGAATGAGCTAAAATGCATACACGCAATAGGTTGGACTTGATGGACTCAAATACTATGTAACTATGAGTGATCTGTCTGAGGAACATCAGAAGGACAACATAGAAAAGGAAAAGATAATAGAAATGGACAATCAATATTTTGGTTTATATGATTGAAAACCCCAATAAAGTACGACGGCGGGGGGTGGGGTCGGCTTTGAGTTTGATACAATCTTAAAGTTGAAGACCTCCAGCCACTTGAACAGCAGAGGTTTTTCGGTGGACACGGGAAGGAGCTCTCGGTAATCCGCACCCCCTCCGGCCGCGTTACCTTACGGGAACGTAACATCTTAAGACTTATCCTGATGTAATCCTCTTTTCCGGATCGGAGCCGAGGTATAAATAACTGTTAATATGGACACAGCGCGTTCAATTAGGGTGAAGGAACTGTGGGTGGCGAGGAGGGAGCGCCACCATCTACCCTGACTGGCCTCGACGTCGACAACGAGGCTGTAAAACGTGGCCGTTGCATCAACTAGTACTTCACCAGGGTGGTACAGCTCAAGGTAGCCCTGGGCCCCATTCACCACCTGCTGGGAGGCATAGATGGGATCCGTCTCTTCCCCCGGAACGCTCCCGTCATACAAGTATACGCTAAACTTGTGTCAATAGTCATTGTATTCAGGGCCGGATTTCCCACAAGGCCAACCAAGGCCCGGCCTCGGGGCAGCAGGGAGTGGAGGGGCAGCAGGGAGTAGAGGGGCAGCAGGGAGTAGAGGGGCAGCAGGGAGTGGAGGAGCAGCAAGGAGTGGAGGAGCAGCAAGGAGTAGAGGGGCAGCAGGGGTGTGGAATTTCTATCTCCCAATGCCGGGGACATGCAGTTCTGGACGCCGAGCGGGTAGTTCTCTACATTTAGCCCGGCTTTGGGCAAGCAGAGCTAAATGTACAGTGGGGAAGCCGCCGCTTGTTTTGTACAAGTGATCCCGGCAATGTCGCCGAGATCACTTGTATGCAGCCTGCAGGTCTGCCACTCTCCATGGGGAAGGGGGAGGGGTTTGGCCGGTAGGGGGGGCACATTGAGGAACCTGGCCTTGGGGCAGCAGAGAGAGTAAATCCGGCCCTGCTTGTATTGGTATTGTATATAAAATGTCCACAACGTCGAATGCTTGCAAAATATTGCCCCAGTAGAAGACATTTAGGCAAATCCGGACCATCTACAAGGCCACCTAGGCAGATGTCTGAGGCCCGGTGAGTGTTTGGGAGGTCCACATACAACCTTCATTCTCCTCCATTAAATCAGGAACCAGATGAAAGGATGATGGGGGGAGGGGGGCAAAGTTGCTTCCTTGATCCTTGTCTGGGCCCCCATTCTCCATCTCTACCACTAGGGGAAATTTTGGTAAGAAAGTGGCCCAGAAAGAAGTTGTCACATCCAATAGATTCCAATAACCACAAAATCAATAAATGAAGACTCGGCCAGAGGAAGTCGCCTCTTGTCCGATGCCTGCGATTGGCTGGCTGACAGGATGTTGGATCGGCAATAATGTTTCTTGAGGTTTGCTCAATGATAAATGAC